TATATATATATATATATATATATATATATAGTTATATATATATATATATATATATATATATATATATATATATATATATATATATATATATATATATATATATATATATATATATATATATATATATATATATATATATATATATATATAAAATATTATATAATCCTAATCTCTCGTCTACTCACCTGTCTGCTGACCAAATATAAGCGAGATTTGAAGGTATTTCGACAACACTGACAAGAAAAACATTCAGATATCTATTTCCACCAAGATCAACAGAACCAAAAGATACACCATAGTACACAAGGGCGTTGGCAAACCTACAGTATATACAACAAAAAACATGAAAACCAAAAAGGATTACATTACCCAAAGTGCATTTGCACACACACACCTCAGGTCTTCTGATCAGGGCTGTAATTTTATCGCGGCACTCCTACTAACTGTCGTAGTTTGAGAGGAAAATGTCGTTGATCACCGTGGACAAAGATGGCAATTTTGTGCCGTAGCGTAAATTTTGAGGAAATTGGTATTTATTGCTGCCGAAGGCAGCCTTCTATTCTGGACGATGTGTTTTTCTCGCACCAGTCCGTTTCCGGTTGGCCGAACTATGTAGAGCAAACGGCAACTCGATTTTATGTTTGTACGAATGTACGCACGTACGGATGATCCAAATATCCTGGTTGAGACTCTCGAACACCACCATGAATCATTACAATTTGTTAACACGTTACGTGCGCCTCGTGCCTAATGAAAATTTTGATTCCAGCTTGCTGCAAATTTTATGTCTGGCTGTTTATCGAAATATTTTTCTTACGTCTGGCTGTTTATCTAAAATATTTTTCAAGGTAAAATGAAAGTTTGATCACAAATAACAATGTTTTTGGTCGAATTATTTTAGCCATTACAACAAATGAATCAACCGTATTTTTATTAAATTTTTAGGTGCCGTCACTCTTCATAAAAACAAGCGAGTAAAAACATCTGTTTGAGCTTAATACAACATCGTAGTTCAAGGTCTAAATAATCACAGCGATAGTGTTTTATTAATATCGTTATTATGGAAATATCAATTGAGCAGTACCGTGCCCGCATTGGAACACATAAATGTATACGAATGGAAAATTACCCGACTTGTTTGCAAGATAGCTTTCATCATATATTAATCATAGTTCTTGATGTTATTTCAATTGGTTTCAATAATGGTCATTATGTTTCAATAATGGTCATTAATTAACAAAAGAATAATATTTGTTCGCATATGTTACTTGAGCATATTTTGTGTTAAATGAGAAAGTGAATGAGTTGAGTTATCATGCAGATATATATATATATATATATATATATATATATATATACATATACATATATATACATATATATATATATATATATATATATATATATATATATATATATATATATATATATATATATATATATATATATATATATATATATATATAAAATAGTTTGTGTAGGGTTATAAAAACCAATGATAGAGTGCTCAATGGATAACCAGAGCATAATAGAAAGACACAAAACAAACAAACCAAACATGCCAAACATGCCAAACAAAGCTTATAAAATATATATATATATATATATATATCTATATATCTATATATGTATATATGTATATATGTATATATGTATATATATATATGTATATATATATATATATATATATATATGTATATATGTATATATATCTATATATATATATATATATATATATATATATATATATATATATATATATATATATATATATATATATATATATATATATATATATATATACTTATCTAACTATGTGAAAGTCACGGACACAAAAGATTCAAGTATGAACTCGACGTACAGAAAAACATACCATAAATCCCAACAAATCAGGGTTTTCTTAGCAATTTTCCAGGTACTAAACATTTGCCTAAAACTTGCTCGTGTTTGAGGTATCACAGGTTTTTGCAGTACAAGATCATCTGGTAATGGTCGTTTGTTCATTCTGGAAATTTTGGCAAGAACTGTTTCAGCTTTTTCTGCTTTACCATTCAATAACAGCCATCGAGGAGACTCTGGTACCAACCTGACAAAAGAGAAAATATTTGAATAAATATATTTATTTTCTATTTGTGCATGCCTATAGTGGTAATTTTTATTTCCTGCAATCTGATTGGCTGCAGGGACGGGAGCATTTTACGGTATCTTGACCGTGGACAAACCGAGGAGTGAAGACAATGATCAAACTCAAAATGCTACTCAATCGATATTAAAAATAGTACAATACAGCGAATTGACTTCAGTGTACTTAGTGCACCAAGTCCGAAATGTACTTTTCTCTGACCGAAATGCAAAAAAAAACCCCAAATATTATAAACATCGAAAAATATTGGTCAGTGTTACATGTTTCGATTCAAATGCTCCACGTATATTCAACTATCTCTCGAAAAATATACGTTTAATTAAATATAAATAATATAAGATACTTGTCCTCAAACATTAACATTTTTAAAAGAATACCTTAAACGGCAGTTTAGGGATGATTTGAGGCTTAATTGAGTCAAATATTTTTTTATAAATGTTGTAATGAACAAATGTTTTCGGCAACTAAAATTTGTAATATTGTAGCCAATCAAGTCGACCTGGGTGTGGTTGTGAGCAATGACGTTAAGTGGTCCCCTCACATGGCCAGCTGTACTGCTAAAGCCAATCGTTTGTTTGGTTTTCTTCGGAGAAATTGTTCTCAAATGACTGATACTCGCTGCCGTCGGCTTCTCTATCTCTCACTCGTCCGATCTCACCTGTCTTACGCCAGAGAGATCTGGGCACCTCAAGCCTCGTCACGTGATCTTGCGATCCTGGAGGGTGTTCAGAGACGAGCTACTAAATTTATACTTCAAAATTATGAGTTGTCTTATCTTGAGCGTCTTAGGAAACTTAATTTATTGCCTATATCTTACTGGCTTGAAATAAAGGATCTCATCTTTTTTTTCAAATGCAAACAAGGCCTCTACGACCTAGATATCTCCTCTTTTGTCACCTTTTCTTCTAATCGCTCGTTTCGCACCCGTTCAAGCAAGGACAACTTGCTTCAAGTCAATCCGTGCAAAACCTCTCTTTTTAGAAACTCTTTTTTTAAAACAATCTCTCTCCGATCATTCGTAACAGTTCGTCTGTTTCATCCTTTAAGCTCCAGCTCCATTCTCACTACTCTTCTCAAATAGACTCTTCTTTCGGTGTTAACAGAATGCGCACTTGGAAAACCTACCGCTCTAAATGCCGTTCTTTCAACTTAAGCTGTTGCTCATAATCTAAACCATTAATTTTTATATAGCTATGTAAATAGTGTTCTATAACAAACGTACTTGCAGGGAGGTGAGTCCGGGATTGGACGCACCAAGGGTGGCTGGAAGTTTCCCGAACTTACCGAGCGAAGCGAGGTGAGTTCGGGAAACTTCCAGCCACCCGAGGTGCGTCCAATCCCGGACTCACCGAACCTGCAAGTACGTTTGGTTTTTATCCCATACATCGAGCCATACACACATTTGTAGCTCTTCGCGATATATTCGCCGATGTTTTGTGAACATTTTCCCGGCCAAAAAAATCACTGGGCAAGAAAATATTTCTTTATCTACGTCTACATTACCTTTACTGCATTTTTCTTTGGTTTTTCTTCAGTCTCAGTATGTTAGTCACCGAAAAAAGTTCTTTAAAGTTTAGGTTTATCGGCTAAATCTTGTCCGCCATATTTGTTATTGTTATTGCAACGTAAGCAGTTTAGCGGGTGAGTTCGGGCGAAAAGCAGGTGAGTTCGGCAAAAAGCAGGTGAGCTCGACGACAAGCTCACCTGCTCTAAACCAATCAGAAAGCCGCTTTTAACACAGGTATGGGATAATATAACAAACATACTTGCAGGGAGGTGAGTCCGGGATTGGACGCACCGAGGGTGGCTGGAAGTTTCCCGAACTCACCGAGCGAAGCTAGGTGAGTTCGGGAAACTTCCAGCCACCCGAGGTGCGTCCAATCCCGGACTCACCGAACCTGCAAGTATGTTTGGTTTTTATCACATGCCCAGGCATTAAAATAGCGTGTCCTTGTACACACTTTGTGTCCTTGTAAAAGGCGAATGTGCCCTTGTAAATTGAAAAGTGTGTACTTGAAAATATATTAAACTGAAAATATATGTTAAATGTAATCCACGCAAAATGGTCAAAGATTTTGCAAATTCTGTTCTCAGAACTCTGGAATTGCCATTTCAGAGACCCCCTTAAAAGCTCGCGTCTTCGACGCTAAACTTGTGGCTTCGCCACTCGGTGAGTCTGCGCATTTATACCAAAAATACGCCTCTGAAGGCAAAGTGTGTCCTTGTAAAAATTCCGTATTTTAATGCCTGCACATGCCATTTCGGTAAAATACTAAAAGTATGCTGAAGAATTTTATACGCATTTTACTTTTTAGTATAGAATTTCGTGTTTGGATAACGAACATTTTAGCCGCAACATACTACGCAAACAAACAAACTTAGGCTTAAATTAAAGCTAAAAAAATTCTCTACAATATTCCCTTATTCTTGAAAAGAGAAAATGCACACATTCTGCGAAAACATTGCCAAGATTTATGTAAACCTGGCTGTGCCGAACAAATTTCGGCGGCCATCTTTCTTTTCTTCCACTTTGAATACAGAATATTCCATTTTCATCAAATAAAATAAAAAAAATAATAATTACAAAACAATTAAAAACAGTTAGTTTATTTTTTATTTACATTTTCGTCGGAAATTTGTTCAAATCGCTTCATAATGGCCGCCGCCGAAACATCGATCTCGAACCCACCTCCTAAACATACGTCAGCAGGTGGGTTCGAGATTGAACGCACCTCCTCGTAGTCAATAGGAAAGCCGCTAGTACGCTAGGTATGAGATAATAGTCCTTGTCTTTAATGTATGTCTACCTATTGTTTTATATCAGGTTGGTCTTCACATGGGACTCATGTCCTGTTGACCATGCCTTCAATCATTAATTGTTGTAATTTTTTGTATGATTGTAAAGTTAATAAATAAATAGTAATTGTCTGCCAAAAAGCATGTTTGGTTTGATGTTTGAAGCATGTTCATAATATTAAGGGTCCGAAAAATAAATAATTTCAATTATAAGGTACCTTCTGTATTGTCTTGTGGAATGGAAAAGCATCTATTGCATTGAAACTAAAGGCTTAATTACCAGTTAATTTTCCATCAATTAACTCAAAATACGATTAAAGCCACAGGGAGCCCATTCCGGGTCTTATTGAAATTATGTATTAGAATTAAGTATGAAATATGTAGCTCAGTGTTGAAGCCTGCGATTTGGGGCTGTGTGCGGGCTAATGCGCGCGTAGAATACACAATAAAGAAAATAATAAAGGGATGAAACATCGACGAGTGCCTGGAAGCCCAGAATAGACCTTTCCCCTTTTGAGTGAAATTTTGATCTAGACAAGTCTGGACAAAAATTTCATCACAGCTTGAAAGAGCATCACAAAATTAGTAATATTCCGAGGTTTCGTTGTGAAATGTTGTAAAATGCGGATAATATATAGCCTTGCGAAGTTTGCCGTTTTTCAGTCATTTTGTACTACAAATGGGAAATTGATAATCAGTTTGATCATCTGATTATCAATTTCCCGTTTGTGATGCAAAATGACTGAAAAACGGCAAACTCCGCAAGGCTATATTATCCGCATTTTGCAACATTTCGCATTTTGTGATGCTCTTTCAAGCTGCGATGAAATTTTTGTCCAGGCATATCTAGATCAAAATTTCACTCATAAGGGGAAAGGTCTATTCAAAGCATAATATCAGTGTGTTTAAATAAAAAGGTCAGAGTTTTATTATGTTGTAAGGTCCACTAGGACCTGTTCTTTCATATCGTCTAGCCAAAACCTCCCAAATAGTTTCTAGAGAAATTTTTCGATTGATCGCACAGCAGTGAATGGTTGGATGTGTCGGGATGTGTTCCACAGGTTGCTATGACATGCTGAAATGCTTACGTATTTCCTACTACACACTCCACAGATCTCTCAAATCATATCAAAAATATTAAATAGTATTGTAGCTGTTTGGATATTCGAATATAAAACACATATAAAATTGTAAACACATACAAAACAAAATTTAAAAATCAGTGATCGGCCGGTCCCTCGGCCAGCCGTAAAAATTTCAAAAAATATATGAATTAATTTACCAGTAAAGGGCGATATTTTTTTGATTTTGCAAATTAGTTGCAGATGACAAGTTTGTAACCAGAAAGGTAATTTCTGAAAGAACAAGTTCTTTTGTTGAAATTT